AGAAAGGAAGGCCCACCAGAATAAGAGGTTTGCACGAAGCTGGCCAATGACGGTCGCGACGCTGATGGCGGATGACTTGGAGAAGGCCTTCAGGGCGGCACCATCAGTCATCTCGGCTTGCAAGAGATCGTCGGGGCAGACGCCAGAAAAATCGGGAGAGGCTGCGCCACTATTCTTCAATATCGTGTCGGGCGAAAATATGATTTTTCGTCGGTTGATGGCATCTCTGATGACACTGACGTTGAGGCCAGGGCTTGGCAAAAAGTCGGCCTGGCGCACCTGGAGGGCGGCCATGCTCCGAGGAGCTACCAGAACGAAGAAATCACAAGTCGGGGGGCCATTACGGGGGCGGTCTCAGCGACGATCGCCAATCTACTTGGCATGGGGTGGGGCCATGTTGGCCCCTGTGACTGGCACAGCGACAATTGGGTCAGGTGCCGAGCCCCCACCATGATTGGAGAGGGCCCGCAGGATACGGTTGCCTTGAAGGATGTTTTATTGGAGTCTCTGGACAGACTCTCGCGAGCGAAAGCCAGCGAGCATTGGACCGGCAAGGAGCCGGAGCAAGGCGCGGATCTACGAGATGCCCGGCTGCACGCCAAATCCCTCGGCGACAGAGGCAGCGATGTCAGGGGCCTCCTTGCCTCATGGACACGCGCACTGCCTCCCTCGGTGGAAATAAGTTCGGACCCCTCCTCTGCCCACGACGCAAAGAGGTGGAGTAGTCGGATGTTCTTCGCAGCTGGGGCTGCAGGCGGAACGCAGAGTTCACGACTGTCTCGGACTCTCCGGCGAGGCGGGCCCGAGAGGATCGAAGCGCTAACTTGCAATTTGGCCATCAGGTGTTTCCCCTGCCACTTCGACCAAAGTGGAGGAACCGCCCGACGCAATTGCGGATGCGGCATTTGGTGAGATACAGAGTTTGCAAGACTTGGCAAAGATCCCAGTTGGCGGGGACGCATCTGGCGATGAACACTCCGCGGATCCAAGCCTCCGAAGGGTCGGATGGGCTTACCATGACAGTACAGGCAAGCAGGCAGTTAATCGGGGCGAGCTGGCGGCTCCGCTGAAGGCCTTGGAGGGCATGCTAGGATTTGGCCAAACCATCATCCTCGCCACGGGCTTTTATGTCGCCAAAGGTGTGGTCAAGCTTTCTCCAGTAGGTCTCTCGACCACCCTCACGGATAGATGGCCTAAATGGCAAAGGCTGGGCACTCCCATCAGAGGCACATGGGAACTGCTCCATCTGGTCCAGATCGAGAGTCACCCGTCGGTCGAGGATGCTCAGAAGGCGGGCACATCGCCGGAACATCTCCTCGCCGACTGCATAGCGGGCGAAGCCGTTGGGTTCTGCGCCAAGGAAGTGGCCGTTGATAGGGCGGCGGTGGGTTCGGCGAAACACGCGAGGGCCATCGGACGCGCGGCGAGGAAGCACCCGGCGATTGCTGTTCTCTGGCAGCCGTTGAGGCAGAGCCCGAATGGTAAGGAATACGAATGGCGGGCCCACATGTCCGAGCATGCGGTGCACACTGGTATGAAATCCGCTTTCACTTGCCATCAATGTGGGTACGGCGCAAGTAGACAAAAGTTGGAACCTTCCTTGAAGACGGCGCGTTCGGGTGGCATTATCAAAGGATCGACTCAGAGAGTTGGCGATATCAGCGGGTGGCCGTTTGTGGCTTCTCGGCCCGTCTTAGGAGGCTCTTGGCCCGTCTGACGCCCACGGAGGCCGCCTTAAGGGCCTCTCGAGCACACGTTGGTACCGTTTCAGAGGTGTTCACAGCCGTCTCGTGGCCCTCTTGGGAGCCCCTATCGCGCGATCCTTAGGTCCTCTCGGGCCGACTTCGGGACCTTCTGGGGGCCTCTTGGGCTGCCTTAGAAATATATTGGAGGCCTCTTGGATGCCTGTTTCGGCCGTCTTGACGGTTTCGAGTCGAGAATGTGCAAAAACATACGGAAAATCTATTGTGTCGGTCTCGTCGGGCTTTCCAGGAGGGCCTCTTGGAGACCTCCTGGCTCAGATTCTGGGATTCTTGATATGGATTGAGGCTGTCCTGGGAGCCTCTTGAGCCGTTTGGGGCCATCTTGGCGTCATGTCTTGAAGGCCACCCTCGAGGCCATGAGACCCCCAAGAAGGCTCAAGGACAGATCAAGCGGTCCCCAAGACGGCCCTAGAGGTATCCAGGAGGCCTTCCAGGAGAGCCCGATAACGCCAAAACCATTGGTTGTCCTTACGTCTCTGACGGATTTTGAGATCATGGTACGTTTGGTTGTCCGACCGCCCAGATGAGCCCAAGAGGCCTCTCTGGGCCGTCTTGCTGGTCTCTTAGAGCGCTTCAAGGCCGTCGCTGGGCCCTCTGCGAGAGCCCCGTGGGCGATCTTTGGGTCCTCTTGGGCCGAGTTGGGGGCCTCTTGGGCTTTACTGGAACTACCCGGCAGCCTCTTAGAAGCCTTTTCGGGCCATCTTAGGTGGTCGGGAACCCGAACAGGCGAGAACCTCAAAATCTTTCAAACCTTCAGGACAATGTCGTTGACCCCCTCGGGATTTCCAGGAAGGCCTCTTGGAGCTCTCTCGGGTCGTTTTGGGGGCCTCTTGGGCCGTCTTGAGGCCCACTTGGCTTATCTTGCGCCGCATCAACGCTCTCGCGAGAGGCTCTTGAGTTGTCTGGGGCCATCTTGAGCAGTTGAGCTGACGTCTCGGTTGCGTTGGAAGCCGTCTTGGAGGCCATCTTGGCCGGCCGGAGGCCGGAATAACCATAAGAAGACAATTTCAGAGGGGGGCGTGTTTTTTGGGGCGTGCGCGCGGGGAGCAAGGGGGGGCCCATCATATATTCAAATTTCCCAGGCAAGAGACAGCAAACGCATTCTGACACGCCCGCTCCGCGCAGGCACAGTGGTGGATTTCTCGGACCTCCGATCCACGCTTGCCTCAGGTGCGGTAATGCTGGGAAACATGGCATCAGAGGAATGGCTGGCCAGTGGTGTTGGGCCGCTTCGGTCGTCAGACGCTCATCAAGTTGACGAGAAGCATTTTGCCTGAGTCAAGTGTGAGACACAGGAGTGTGGCCGAGTCTGCTGATACTGGGAGCACGGTTTGGGGGGGGGGCCCACGGACTCACAATGAGATCCGCTTCGCGAAGGTGAGGCTGCGGGCGGGGTCTCTGCGACAGTCGTTACTGGGAGTCCATGCCTGATGGAGGGCACTGAGTCGGGGGCTGCCCCCACGAGCTCGCAACACGATCGTCTACGCGAAGGTGGAGCCTTGGGCCAGACCCAAGACGTCAGGGACACCTGGGCAGAACCTACTCAGCGCTCCCCGCCTGCGGGGGGGGGAGGCGCAAGAGAGGGGAGGCCAGTGAACAGAGTGTTCTCTCCTTGGGTCGGGCTCAGGGTTCTGAGTATACTTTGGGAAGTATGTGCCACCTGGGTGGTACGGGGTCGGGGGCTGCCCCCGCGGGCCCTCAAGGAGCACCAGCAGGTGAAGGTGATGATGACGTTTTCATGGTGCCGTGGTCGAGGCACGGCGCTTCCCCCGCGGACCTTCAAGGAGGTGCTGGAGGTTGCCGTGCAGCGGCACGGGGTCGGGGGCTCACCCCGCGGACCTTGAGTGGCACCGCGTTTGCGCTGGTGGCTGAGCCGGCGGGCGCTTCTTCTCCCCGTTCCCTCATTTCCGTGTTCGCTTGCGTTGTGCTGTTCTGGGGCGGTTTTCGTGCCAGCCAGGGTGGAATCGGGTCTGCGGAGTACTAAATACTCCTCCTCCTCATCCTCCTCCTTGCTGCGTCATGTCATCGATGTGCGGTTCCTCGTTCATGACCGTCGCTAGTGTGCGTTACCTTGGTCACTGTGCATGGCCAGCGCATGTTCGGCGTTTCATAGTGGACTTGGCAGCTGCGAGTGGATTACTTGCATCGGGAAAAACTTATTTGCTCATGTTGGTTCGAAGAACGGCCCCAGTTTTCGGTTAGATATGTCGCCCGTTTCTCTCAAGTAACGAACTGTTTCGTCGACGCGAGTTCTCAGATGCCGAGCATTTGCCTCCTGCAACGAAGATGTTGTTTCATCAGCTTTGCTTCTGTCACGCACTGTGCTCGCCGACATGCCCCAGTTCCACATTTCATTTCCCCGCCTCCCGCATCCCTTTGGCAGGCCTAGGACAAGGGCAATTCGATCCAGAGCGTTCCAGAACGCTGTCGAAGCGATCTGGCGCGCTCTGGAATGACCGCGGCGCCCAGTGAGATCCCGAGATGTTTGTAGCCGCTTTTGTCCTTACCCCACCTTCGTTTTACCCTTGTCCCCTCCGATATTCCTCCTCCCTCCCTTTCCCCCCCCCCCTCCCCCGCGCCTCCCGCCCCCTCTTCGGCCCCTGGGCATCCCCCGATTAGAGGACCGAACCACACCAATCCTGGACGCCCCTTCCAGAGGTCGCCGGATGCTTCTGGAGGCCCACAGATCCAAGAAGCCTCGATCTTGCTCCTCGTCCTTCCCCCCTGCCCCCATGCGCTCCTTCTTTCCGCGCGAGCCTGGTTCCACCCCGCGCTCCTCCCCACTGCGCATTGTGGGCGGACCTTACTCGCATGGTCAGGTGGAGGAGGAGCATAAGCAGGATAACTCCCTCTCCCTCCTCGTCCTCATCCTCCCCCTCCCTCTCCTCAACCTCCTCCCCCTCCTTATTTGACATACGCCTCCTCCTCCTCCGTGGCAAGTATTGCAGTTCTGGTGGAGCTAAAAATCGATGGCACTGCTTGCTTCTTATTAGTTCAGAGAGAGCCCGACTTTGCGGCTGCTCTTCCTCTAAGGCGAGTGGCATTCGCACGTCATTTCCGCATGTCTTCTTTCTCTTACCAAACATATTTGGCCTCCTGTTCACCATTCCCCTTATACCTTTTCCCTTCATTACCTTCCCTCTGGTTCCCTTTACGGCTCCTTCCTCCCCTAGGTTTATTGATGATATTTCAGTTGTTGTTTTTGTCTCGCCGTTCTCTTCATCGTTGCATCGCGAG